AAAATTGACTTTATTGTACAATCTTACAATACAATCAAATTAATTTTATAACACCAATGCACAACTCTAATATTCCATCGACATTTCTCGTAATATCAGTGTACAATTTTAAATTTGATTCTCTAATAATTACTACACTCCTAAACATCTCATTTATTCTAAGGAGATGTTTAGTTTGTTGTAAAAGGAGCGCCCTATATTCAATTTACAAAAGTTCAGAGATATAGGTGTTAGGTTATGATGCCTCGTTTCATCTCCTCAGGTAGTTGAAGGAAAATGAAGTGAGGACCGGGAAGGGGTGTTTCGACCTCTAAAATGTTCTGTATGGGCGAGACAGAGGCGAGATCGAGAGGCAAACGCTAACCTTAACGATTACCTGGAGAGTCGAAATTGACAAACAAGCAATGCCTCGACTCACCACCCACCGCAGCTACAGCCATCACCATCCACCGGCCAAGTATTTTACACTAATTTTATTTGCCTTTAAACCAAATATATATATATATATATAAATGAAATCATCAATTTATTTTACACAACATTTCTTTTTCAATAAACCAAACAACCAATTAAATATTGATATTGAATTACTTCTCCAATCATTTGGATTCTTAACCGCAAATGTATATTGTACTTCTTCATCATGCTCATTTTGCCTTAAATTTTTCCCTTAAAATTCTCTTTTTCAACAACATAAAAAATGACCTTATCATCTTCCTTGATTGTGTCAATTAACTAATATCTAGTGCCTTCACTCCAACCTAAGTCTTAACTCAAATCTATATATATATATATATATATATATATATATATAATGTATATATCATACCATACATTTTCAAGCTATACCTTTGAATTGGCCACTAACTTCTTGTGAAACCACTAACTTTGTATTATTATTACTACTACTATTGATATGTCATAAAAAAAAATCTATATGACCTGACACAAATCTCGATTTATTTAGATCTGAGCTCTATATTTAACAAATTTACATTCAAATTGAGCTTCTCAATAGTATGACCCTAGACATTGAAAGTGATTCAATATGAGCCAAAATAAGTCTAGATAAAGCACTTGAACTATAATTAAAAACTTTAAAGCATTAATTGGAAGATCAATCGATCTTTGAATTTGGGATGCTCAAAGTCAAATGAAGTAGCTCGACGAGAAGCCATAAGCTGAAGATCATTTAATTCCGAGGCCATTAAGGCGCATGAATGCTGAAAGTTTGACCTATGATTGAATGAATCAACACAGACCATTTGATAGAGTATTATGAATTTTACACTACATTTATTAAAATGCACTTCTAAAACATCAAAATAAATTCAAAGCCCTCACAAGAGAGATGGCAAGCTGTGGACTAATTCTATACTTGTGAAGAAAACTTGAAACCAATGATCACCAAGAATTCCCATTGACCACTACTAGTGTTTATTGTAGCCTAATTACTAATATTGTAACCCAACTATGACTGTTATAGCTAAATAATTGTCATACGCAAGGTTATAAAACCAAACCAGGCCAGCCATTTCGACTGTGAACCGCTGGCCAGTCTAATCCGGACCAAACAAAAAATCATTTTGGGGTGTGAACTGACCGGAACCAGTTCAGTCGCAGGTTCAACCGTTGGACCGGCAAGCCGGTCTATGCTTATCATTAATGCGGCATTGGAATTGTAGGAGGGTTCTGCATTGGGGATTTTCAAATGGAGAGGAAAGGCTCTGCATCGGGAGTTCCAATGGATTTGGGGAGTTTCCAATGGAGAAAAGCTCCACATGGGGAGTTTCCAATTGAGAGGAAAGGCATTGGAAACAGAGTCAAGCCAAGTAATAATATATATAAATGAAGTTTTGTAAGAAAAGATGATTATACAGTGGGCAAAAAACTCCCCAGTATCATAAGTAGATTCAGTATGGGAGGAAGAGTAACCACCATATCTTGGAGATTTTACTTCTTTTAGGTTCTCACAGTACTTAATTTCAATTAATTATATATATATATATTAAAATGCTAGTATCCAACCCTTATATTTCATATTTAATTTTTTTGAAAATTTATTATTAAAATTTAAAATAATTTTTCAGAATTATTGTAAGGGTTTTTATTTAAATATTGATGTATTTATTTTATATTTTAATAATCAATTTTTTTAAATATATCATTTATGTCATATTCAAATAAATTTATAGTTTATTACATCATTCGATTCAACCCAGTCAAATGAATGAACCTTGAACCTTTCTTTCTTCCAATTTGATGTCCGGTCCAGTTTTCACAACCTTGGTTATACAACTGTGATTGTCTATTTATTATCTCAAGAAATTTATTGTTTGATGTGTCTAAAATATATTGATATGTTCATGTGTTTATTATATCCTTTATAGATCATTTTTATATTTTTATGGTGTATATGCAGTGTTATGTGAAGTAAAAAACGAGAAATCAAGGTTCGAAGACTTGAAGAAAGAAAAATGGACTAAATCAATAGCAAAGCACTTTGACACCATAAGGTGAGCGCCTTAGTGCTTGAAATAGGAGCTTTATGCACAAAATCTAGAGCATATGGCATCCTAGCACTCGGACCAAGTGCCCACACCAGCACTGCTGTGCTACATGTGCTAATGCTACCTTGCCCGAAGCCGTAATTTGATGATTCCCTGTCACAAATTCCAGCACAACAGTCAGCGCCACCGCAAACTACACCAGCGCCTTGGCATCGCCGCTCCTTCAACCGACATAGAGTAGTTTTGGTGGTTTTATGACGGTTTAACCGGGGGTGACCATAAAGAGTAGTGAATGATTCAGACTTTTAAAGCCCTAGAGCATGAGAGAGAGAGAGAGAGGAGGAGACCATTGGAGAGAGAGAGAGACATCCATAACTTGAAAAGGGACTTTTTCTGCATTTGTGAGAGTCCACTTATATGATTGTAGTATGGATTGAATTGAGAGGAATTAAGGAGTGAAGACTAGGAGCGAGAGGATTTCAATTCGAGTTGTAAATCTCCTTTACTTGTATAATTTAAAATTTCTATCAATGAAATCATTAATGTTTTCTTTAAGCATGTGTAAGAATAAGTCTCTTATGTTTCTTTGATTGGTAATGTGAAAATTCTTGTTTATTCCATGATAACCCCTAGACTAATTAAATGCATGTTGGTATGTCAATCTTCTAAGCCTTATTTATCTTTTGTTGACCACTAAAAAAATTAAAATCTTTGTGATCTAGGACTACTGGTCGTAGGCTATAAGAACAATACATTAACACTCAATCACTTAGTGAAATATAAATATTATCAATAGAAGATTGCAATAGCGTCGAGGAATATGGATTCCTGAGATTTTATAGGGTAAAGTGGACTTAATCATAAGATGCGGCTCTAATACTGTTTATATATAGGAATAGAGAAAGGAGTATTTGTCCTTGATTATCATATTAAGTGCGGACAACTTTTGGAAAAAAATTGAAGATTCACTTGATCAATTTCAAAAAGACAATTTTTTCACTATTAGAAAAATCCAAAACTTTTGTTATTACTATTAAATTCTAAGAATTTCAGAAATTTTTTCAAAGTACTAAATCATTTCAAAGTAATCATAGAATTAGTAAACTAATAATTAGATTATTTAAAAATTAACCCGTTCATTGTGGCATCGATACTTAAGACTTAAAATTTATATACTAATTGATTGTCACATATACTTGTGCAATTAACGCATGAGTTTCAACCACAGCATGAATCGTTACCGAAACAGAATTTTGTGTCACTTCTTTTCCAGTTAAGAAGAAGAGTTGATATATGGACTTTCAATTATGTAGTAAATTACTTTTGACTGGGCTAAACCCTATGATATTTTCCTTTATTGGGCTTTTCACGTACAAATTTTGTTGCGCGTTATTTTATTTTTGTGTATTGGATATTTTTATTGAACTAAGACTTAAAATTTATCTTACAACGAGAATTATCTATCAAGCAATAATTATTATCATCATTACCTCTTAACACCTTTTTATTACTTTTTTATTCTTTAAAATATTTCTTTATTTTCATAATTTTTTTTACCTCTTCAGTCCACCAACACTTCTATTTCTTATGTTTGTAAACTTTCTTAAACATATATGGAAATCTTCTCACTACAACAAGCCGTTTTAAATAACACAAAGTTTGGTTCAGTCTTTCCTTTTGTTTGGGAAATTTCTCTCTCTTAAGAACCTAACTTGAAATATTAGTAACCTCTCATATTTTAAGTTTCATCATTTATCCTTGATGTTTATTCATATTGTTTATTTTCTTAACATTTTAAAATTATACATCAATTATTAATATGAGATATGCGATCTTTTCTCTTGGATTCAGCATTTGATCCGCACAGAGCACAGCTCCAAATTCTTCTTTGTTGATAATTAAACCTCAAAATAGTAAGCAAGAATATCGAATTCAAGGAACACTATGTATGAGTATGATAAGTAACTTTGGCGCCATTTAGAATCCCTTCTATACTTTTATTTCTATTTTGTATTTTTATTTGTTTTGTTTGTACTTGATTTGAAACCAAACATGATTGTCATGTTAAAAACAAATGAAAAAAACAAATGAACATATTTTAAAAATACTCAAAGTAATTTTTAATTATTTTGAGTGTTATTAAAATAAGTTGATTTATTTTTAAAAATAAAAAATAGATGAGAAACACTCCAAATAAAACTAATTTTAAAGATAAATACTAAAATCAAATATAAAAGTAATTCTATCTAAGAAAAGAAAAATAAAAAGAGAGTTTACCTCAGGGATAAAAAATTTGCCTGTTAGAAGGCAGTAGGCGGGCATAACGCAATAAGGGATCAAGGGAAGGGCGGTCCAAGGATGTAAAATCAAACTTAGGTAGGATAAGCGTTGCAAACACTTCATCCCACCTCCATAGCCATACCAAATAGGACAATGTTTGCTGAGGAAAATCTCGACTGATCCTTGCGCCCGACAAAGAAATAGATGAAGATATTCTGAAAGATCTGTCACAGCAGAGCTCTTAAATGCTGTTCTTCTAGGCATGCAGAAAATAGATCGCCAACCATGACAATGCATCTTGAAGCCAGTCAACACGTCCTCCGCGATCGATCCATAAATCCAACCTACCTGCACCAAAAAAAACATGTATACATACATACATACATACATAGATAATAAAGATTGACTAGAAGCTATTAGATGAGCCTCCCGATCAACTTCATGTGCATGAGAATTTCATTCTGCACATGGGCAAGATTCACACACACACACACACACACACACACACCGGGCAAGATTCACACACACACACGCACACGCACACGCACACGCACACGCGGGCGCGCACGCGCACTCACACGCACACGCACAAAATGTTTATTTCACTTTTAAAAAGTGGTAAGTGTTATTTTTTATGTGATATTAAAGATTTAAATGTTGTGCGTGTAAATTGCACTTTTAGGTGTGAGATATGTAAATACATAAGAATTGTGTGCTATGTAAGTAAATGCAACCAAAAAAAAATTAAATAATATAAGCAAGAAGCTGATATTAATCCTCTTTCCAACATGCTTCAGAAAGTGATAGCCTTTTCCTCGAGCAGCTTGTGCATGAAAATGATATCATTATATTTAAAGGTTAAATGCTGTTAGTTTTTTATTAGAACTTGGATTGAAAAGTTCACCGTGAGAAATATGTGGTGCAACCTAAATTATTACAAAAGTTTTAGGGCATCGGAAGCCGCGTGGTATGGACTATCATTTTTTACATACACACACGTAGAGTTTAGTTCGGATAATGATGTAAGAGTCGCAATTTTTCATTTGTTCTTTTCAGTACAGTGAATTTCCTCTTCCTGTATAGGATTTTTCCATAAATCTGACTCTCTTGAGTTGTACGTATGGTTTGTCTTTTTTTAATTACTCTTTCAAATGCAGTTTTAGGCTTTGCTTGGTGCAGTTGTGTCGATATTGTGCTTTTTTGAGTTTTATGAAATAAATCATCATTTTAGCACTTAGAAACACAAGTTGCTCCAGAAGCACACATTCTTATGACCACATAGAAATATATGCAATCATTGACATTTTCTACATAAATCAAAATTGTTTTCTGAAAACTAGGTAAGAGATTGTAGTAAACTTCATCATTTCCTAATTTCAATTTTTATTCTATCTAAATGAGCCGTAAGCCGAAAAATAAGCTCAACATACCTCCTTTCCCCATGCAGTCTTGTCCTCATAACCACAGCTTATAACATGCAATGCTTCCTCCAAAGCTGAAGCAGAACTTACGGCCATTGAAATCCTACCATTTTCTGTTAGTGTGGAAGCTATAAATGCTGGTGATCGGCCAAATTTCTTCTCAAACCCTTCCAAAGGCATTAAGGAAGACTTCTCTAAAACTTCTCCTGCAAAAAAGAAAAAAAAAAGCCCGGTATAACACTTTTCAAGCCATTTAGAACTAAGTCTATAAGTTAGAATCAACAATCAAACCTCCAGCTTCCTCAAGGATTGTCTCAAGTGAATGAACCAGCGCTGATATCTCCCTATTCTGATTCAGAGATTTCTTGTTCCCCTTATTTTTATGCCTTTTCCTACCTAAAAAGCAACATTTTGACTTGCAATTTCGTGTCTTTCTCTCGTTTTTCTCCTTAACCGGAGCATCAATTCCATAAAAAGCTTGCCGTCTGAAAACACATCCAGTGCCTAGAAAGATTGGTCCTTGGATCCCATCAAGAGCTCTCATGTTAATCTGCTCATGATTGAAAGTGCAACATAGCAAATTATCAACATATGATACTACTTTAAATTTTATGGTAAAAATGTAATTAAATAGTTTCATACGTTAAAGAAAACTACACGGTCAGAATATTTGTCGTTTTGATCAGTCCCATCAAATTTGTATGGAAACTGCACAAAGCAAACCTTTCTTCCTGAGGTGGGATCCATCATAAAGCACATGGCTTCTCTTAAAGCTTTACTGTTGTTGATATAGTGTCTGCAATCCAGGTTCAAAATGAAAGGAGCATTTGATAATACTCCTGAAACTCGTATCTGGAATTGGATTTAATTAAATATATTTATAACGAATAACTCAAGTCGGTGTAAGTACTTCTTGCAGAAAACTTAAAGAGAGCAGGGGATGTGGAGAACATATCTCACCAGAGCATTCATGGCACCAGCCTTTCTATGGTGATTAAAACCTGGTCTTTTTTCACGAGATACATAAACTAAACGTGGTAGGTTATCTCCATTTGCGTCAAGCGAATCACCATGACCCAGAAATACCTGCTCAAGCACATGCACTATGCACTTTGAAGAACAAGTTTTGAATGACAAATCAAAATATGATATTAAAGCTATATCATGTAAAAAGTTTAATTTATTAGTAAACTTCCGAGAGAATGGCATTGAATTTAGTAAATATGGATTCTGTTTGATGGCATTAAACTGTTGGACATTATTTAGCTTGGTTAGTATTTAGGTGTTATTCTTATAATATAATTATTCGTCTTTTTTTAAAGTCTCACTCGATATAATCCGTTACTTATATGGCCTCCTTTTAACACCCATCCCCTTCTACATTTATAAGAAACATATAGTGAAGAGTAATAATTAGTTGATTTACGAGTTATTTGTAATCCCTTCACTGAGGTCACGATAATATTTGGTTGAAGCTGCTCTTAGGTTTTTTTGAGGAGTTTTTGCCTTTGCTCTGTGCTAAGAAGCTCCTTCAATTCAACATGCTCTAGAGTGAATGCATGTTTTACAGCAGTGCTTCACTTACATATAATATAAATTTACAAAAAAAAGGAAAAAGAAAAGAAATCATTGCAGTTCTAAGAATTTTATTAACTTCATTATCTTAAAATTTATATCCAAACTAGTCTTCAACCCAATAAAATGACACCTCAAAAATTCGGGAAAAGCACATCTCTATTGATTTGATCAACAGAAATATGAGATAAATAGTTGAGAATCTCTCCAAACATGTATCAACATAAACATCTCTATAGTTGTAAAAAGTGGTGTTTTGTCCTTATTTAAAGTAGTAAAATCCTCTGTAAGTTCGTGGACGTAGGCAATTTGCCGAACCACGTAAATCTGTGTGTTCCGCTATGTTACTGTTTTTTTGTGTGAATTTTCTCGCTCTATTTTTTCACTTCGTCAAAAATCTTTCTCTTATTTTATTTATATATCTACCACAACAATTGATATATAGCGCAACAACTGGTATCAGAGTTTTGTTTCGGATCTGAGGAAGAATGATGACTGCAGATGAAGTCAAGGTTTCAGGAATCGATAAATTTGATAGCACAGATTTTGATTATTGGAGGATGCAAATAAAAGACTACCTCTATGGGAATAAACTTCATCTTCCGTTATTGGGGAAAATACCTAAAAGGATGAATGAGGTTGAATGAAATTTGTTGGATCGACAAGTTCTAAGGATTATTCGATTGACCCTATCGAGGTCCGTTGCACACATCGTCGTCAAAAAAAGAACGACTGCAAATCTCATGACATCCTTATCAGGTATATACGAAAAGTTATTGACAAATAACAAGATGTACTTGATGAAGAAGTTATTCAATTTGAAGATGACAGAAGGTGTTTCTGTTGCTCAACACCTGAATCATTTCAATACTATCACAAATCAATTGTCGTCTGTTGAAATTGATTTTGAAGATGAGATACGTGCGCTGATATCGTTGGCATCATTGTCAAACAGTTAGGAAGCAATGAGGATGACAGTTAACAATTCTGCGGGTAAATCTACACTGAAATATGATGATATTCGTGATTTGATTTTGGCTGAGGAGGTGCGCGGGAAAGATTTTGGCGAGATCTCAGGTACGAGTTTGACACTGAATGTTAATTTCAGAGGGAGATGACAGGACATGAACTCAAATAGAAAGAGATCAAAATCAATGTCTGGTCAGCAGTGGTCAGCAGAAAACCAGTTGGAATTGTGCTAAGGCTGGTCACATAAAGAGGAACTGTAGGAATCTCAAGAATATGAAGAATGATAGTGCAAATGTTGTATCTGAAGAAGTACAAGATGCACTATTATTGACAGTTCATAGTTCTGTTAATGATTGAAGTGAAAAGAAGAGTGAGTCCGGGACACCCATTTCTATTGTTCCAGAGACAAATGATAGAGAACCACAGAGCTATGAGAAAATCTTGTAAGATGAAAGTTCGAGCAAGTAGAAGCTGACAAAACTTTCACCAAAGAAGAAGACATTACACAATAAGTGGGTGTACAGGTGAAAACTAAGCGTGATGGTAGTAAGAGGTACAATGCTAGACTTGTTGAAAAAGTCTTTCAACAGAGACCGAATATTGCCCATACAGTGGGAGTTGTAAGCAAAGACAAGAGTAATCCAATAAATAGCTTGGAGGTGCAAAGCTATGTTGACCCTGCTAATATATTGACTAATGGTATTACTCTTGAGAAACTAGAGTGAAGACATAGGCTATGAGTTGCAGAGGTGGAGGATTCATGTTTGAAGAAAAAGGCGCCGCCGCCAGATGAGGATATCAGTTCGAGGAAGATGACATTGTAGCATGTGTATCGGTCTCTAAGTGAGAGATTTGTTAAACTGGAGCCCGATCCTGCTTCCGCCGATCCCGCCTTCTCGCTCCCGCCTCCGCTTGCTCCCGCGCTCGCGAAGCGAACTTCGCTTCGTCCGATCACGAATAGTCGCAACTCCCTGCTGTTTCGCGAAACGTCGCCTCTCCGTTTCCTGTTCGAGATAAAAGGCATCGCAGCGGCTCTCCTTCGGTTTTCTAAGTCACAATTTTGTGTTCTTCGGGTTTCTTCGGGACAGAGGAAGAGAAATGCAAGCAATAGTTCCTTGCGGTGAAAGAAGAAAGAAAAAGAAGAAGATTATTCTCCCTTGGCTTATTCTTGGTGGCTTGTGGCAGAAGAGAAATTAGTCCAATTCTCTTGTAAGTTTATCTTATTCGGTGTACCTCAGTATAGAGAGAGAAGAACAGAGAAAGAAGAAGAGAGAGCAACAAAGTGAGAGGTTTTCTTGTAAGTCGAGGCGATCGACTGGTGTAAATTCCTCAAGTAGTAAAATCCTCTGTAACTCCGTGGACGTAGGCAATTTGCCGAATCACATAAATCTGTGTGTTCCGCTGTGTTACTATTTTCTGGTGTGAATTTTCTCTTTTTATTTTTTCGCTTCGTTAAAAATCGTTCTTCTATTTTATTTATATATATACCACAACAACTGGTATATAGCGCAACAAATGATACACATAAGTTTGCATGTATATTTATAAGAAAGTTGATGCAATTATTAGAACTAGAGATCTTACTTTAATTGATTCATATTATAAAAAGATAAATACAATTATAAAAGATATCTATTTAGGGCATGCTAAATTAGAGGAAGAGCTTATCCCAACGTAAAATTAAAGAACTTAGGAGCAACTCAAGCCAATATTCCTGTGAGCAAGATTAGATGGTCACAAAGAGCGCATAAGCTAATTAATTATTATTATATTTCTCTTTATTACATGTATTTTACAAATATAAGTGAAAATAGGTATATTAAACCCATGTAGGTAACAAATTCTATCAATTGAACGCTTTCTATTAATAAAGAGAAACAATTTCTTTATAAGAATAACACATGGACAATAATCATGCTATCCAATGGCAAGAAGGTTCTACAATATAAAAAATATATACAAAATGAGGAAAAATAAATGGGAACTAAAAATTATGAGACAAGGCTTGTTAAGGTGTTCCAACAAAAAAATTATGAACTTCTATATCAATATTTTCTCGTGCAATTAAATTAATGATTATTTATGAAATACTAAGCATTATAGCAATATAAGATCCATACTTCGAAAAAAACTGATGTCAGGATAGCTTTCTTCCATGGTTCCTTGGATGAATATGAGAAAATGATACAATTTGAAGGATTTTTTGAACTTAAAGAAAGTTTTATCGATGTTAACTAAAATAGTTACCTCATCAATGGCATTAAAAATTTGATGAAATGATTGAATTCTGTATATGAAATGCTGATCATTGTTGCCATGTTAAAAGAGCCAAAAAGATTGCATAACTTTGTTATTATATGTGAATAATATGTCAAAAGACTAATATTCGAAGGACTAACAATTTTATAAAATATAATTATCAAAGAAATTTAGCATACAGGATCCAGGATAAGCTAAAAAAATTCTTCCCAGCTAACGCCTCCTCTGCTCCAGCACCCACCGCCGACTCCCTCATCCATCAGCGCTAGGTCTCCCTCACCTTCTAGCAAGCGGCAGATCACATCGTCTACCTCATTCGCCCAGATCCCGCTTTTCTCCCTCTCATTTTTGAGGCACAGCCGCTGATTCGCTTCCCCTCGTTCCCATCTCCCTGCTCTCGCTCTTCTCACGCCTCGTACGTCTCCGAAGCCCCGCACAATAATCCCCTGGCCGCAGGCACAGCCGCTGATTCGCTTCCCCCTCGTTCCCATCTCCCTGCTCTCGCTCTTCTAACGCCTCGCACGTCTCCGAAGCCCCGCACAATAATCCCCTGGCCGCTCCTCGGCTCGACCGCTGCCCGGCACACGCCTCCGTTAACCCTTTTCCAACCCGAGAACTCCATAGCAGCCCGCCCCGTTCTTTACCGCTCCCTGCTCCTTCTCAGACGAAAACCCCATTCCTGTCAGCTATTTCCACGCTACGCACTTCTAATTCTCGCTGCCGCAAGCCTCATTCCCTCAGAAGCCTGCACAAACACATTCCGCCCGAACCTCGATCGCAAAGAAGCTCCCTCTTTCTCTTTACCATCCAGTTCGTGAAGCCCCCTCCCGCAGGCTCGTAGACTCGTCGTCAACCTCAGCCTCCAAACTCCCTAGACAACAGTAACCCATCCTCCCCGATCCCATAAACCACCGATTGTCTCCCTCAGCAATCGCATTGTTGAACGGAAGTTAAGGATTGCGGCATTTACAAAAATACTACCAATTTCATATGTATTTTCATATGCAACACCTAAAGTTTTTTTTTTTTTTTGTTATATTTACATCCCCAAAAAATATTACATATCACATTTTTTTTTAATTTAAAAAACAGTAAAGTACATCTTTTTCATGTAAAAGTTTACGTGCTTGTAAAGATCAAAATTTTGCTCTTAAATGCTTTAGTGTTGTTGGCAACGGATTTAGAGCGGGACTTAACCTGAATTTGACCTAAATACTACCGAACGGTCTGTTGGGACAAAATAAAGCAACCGATATCATAAATTTGGATTCCACACATTTCAGTTGTAAAGCTTGAATTCACTAAATCATATAAATCAGTCAATTAACTTTGCAGCAGGATAAAAAATGATGACAAGATTTAAATGATTTAATCTTAAATGCATAGGTATTGAGTGGGATGCAAGTAAATCTTCCTATTTAGTTTTATGATGAATTTAAGCATCTGTTGCTTTGTTGGCCATGCACAAATTAGCTTTCTTGGCCCTCATTTAATAGAACTTACATACCTCACATTCAAGTCTTATCCATTTAAGTATCTCGCATCTAAACCTTCATATATACGAGCAATTATTGCGTGCGGACACCGCATGCATCTCTGCATGCGGTGTCCGATCCTGATCGTAGATCACACTGATCTACGATCAGGATTATTTTCATTTTTTTAAAAAAACAAGAAAAAAAATTTCGGTGGGACCCACCGAAATACATGGGGACCGTAGATCAGGTGATCTACGGTCTGGATCGGTCACCGCACGCACCGATCCGTATGGAATAATTTTTCCATATATACGGGGAGACCTCCCTCCCTATCTTAGAAAAAAAAATTACTGTATAGAAATATAATTAATACTGTTTTTTATGCGATGTGAAAGAATTAGACTCTTAGCCTCTAAAAATGCCAAAAATTTTACATTCGGATTATGGATGCCAAAATGCTTCCGGAGTCCAACGGAGAGGGAAGGTGTCGCGTGGTAAGTGGGCCCCACAAATTTTTTAAATTTTAAAGTAAGAAACACTTGACATGTGGTGCCCCCCACAAATTTTTTAAATTTTAAAGTAAGAAACACTTGACACGTGGTGCCCCACTAGACTTCGGACACATTTTAACGACCAGAGTCCCAATGTAGATATTTCTTTTAAAAATAAAGATTTAAATGTGAGATACATAAATGCATAAGAATTAGTTACTGGTTATGTAATTTTCTCTTTTACTGGTTATGTAATTTTCTCTTGATAAAAATAAAATCACCTGAACCATTCCTGGATGATCCTGCGCATTATTTCCCGGCCAAGGAGCTCCATGCTGCATTGTCCAACCTTCTTCAGGAACTTTGTGAGACGCAGAAATCAACCCATTGATCCGAACCTTAAACTCCTCATATTCTCTCTGAATTTGCAACAACAAGATCAAATTAACACATTTGCCCAAACACTAGAATCATTTTCTGTGAAGAATTGAACAATAACACGAAGCCTTAGAATCAGTAAAACTTCAACAAAATGAAAATCACTTGGAATGTTACAAAAAAAAAAACCTTCATTGCACGTCTCGCCCCAACAAACGCCGGATCTATTTTGCCTTTCAGATAATCCATTTTCTGACTGAAATACCATTCTGGGGCACGAGGTTCAATGTTAAATTTCTTGCAGAATGGAACCCATTTTTTAGCGAACAGTGATGTTTCAGAGAGCGCCTCAAAAGTGAGCATGGCAGCTCCATCATCCGACACATAGCACGAAACTTTATCAGCCGGATAATCAACAGAAAGTATGGACAAAACTGCATTGGCAGCCATGAGAGGATCCTCCTTCTTAGGATCCACTGTGCAGATAAAAACATCTATATCTGCTAATTGAGACTCTTCCTTTCCTTCTTCATTCTCATACCTGCACGCCAGACATGTTAGCCTGTAATTTCGAAAGATCGAATGAATTAAGTTTATTTACCGCAAAGAAAGGCGATCGAGGAAAGTTTCTCGCTCGATCGGATGCCATTTTGGGAGCTGATCCAATATCCATGAAATTGCAAAGCAGAATTCACAAATGACTGATGTGAGCCATAATGCGTAGGCGTTTGTTACTGGATTTAGAAGTCTATAATGGAAGAAGAAGCAGATGGTGATGAGCCTAAGAATTATGACTAATCTATACGGGTTGATCTTCTTTGATGCTATTGGTAGTTTTCTTGAAAGGGGTTGTCTTGCTTCATCCATTCTGCAGAAACAATGAGGTAATTGTTAAAGATTGTTTCTTTTTTTTAATATATAGTTTGGATGACTTCACTTTTGGGATTTTGTGATCTTAGGAATTTGGACGTTATATGTTTTTCATATTTTGATGTTTGTATGGTACAAATTTTATTGGTCCTCTTAATTGGAAGCTTGGCTCATTACTCTGCTCACTCATCATTACCTTTTCCCAACCTCTCCATCATAGAAGAGAAAAATGAATGATAAATGCAGCTAAAAGTAGCTATTATCAAAACTAGTTATGGTTTAAAACCTAAAACTTTATCGATTCAGAAAAAAATATACTTAAGAACATTTTTATGCAATGTCATGCAATAATTTGAAGAATTGGTGTTTTTTTCTGTCCAATTAAGAACCAATGGATTGGAAACTCACATGAGTGCATCAGCTTCACATTCATCAAAATCCAAATTATTTCTTTGAAGAGCACAGTTACCTACTCCTTTTTTTTGCTGCATATTAAGCCTTTTCTTCCAATTTTCTGCATTCTTCCATGCAATGCTTCCATAACCATATAGTGATACGTCTCCGCTTTGGTTCATTGGCCTTGATTTAACTGAAACAAGCAAGTAAGCCTCTGCTTATGAGCACGCATACAGAATAGAGCATGAGAAGAGAGTAAGAACATAGAGAGAGAGAGAGAGAGAGAGAGAGAGGTTCTCTATATTAGATCTTATGATATCTAAAATGAAGTAAAAAGAGAATCCCCTCTAAGGTTTTATCACAACAACAAATTTTACTCCTATATGGATGGGCATACACTGGGATGTTTTTGGCAATCTATAGGCAACTACTCGTCTTCTGGTTGGTTTTTGGCTCGATTGGTTTATCTGTGTTGACTTGGGTCGGCTGACTTAGCTCCATCGGCTTGTCTAAGTTGTCTTAGCTATTTTTCAAAAATGCTATATGACGAGAAGTTTTTGGTCTTTGTGGGATGGTCAAAGATATATATTTGCGGGATTAACACTTTCGTCGTGTCAACCATCCTGTGGCCTATATCGACTTCCTCTGGGTTGAAGACATACGTCCTCTTAATGAGTTCCGGGATAAGTTGCTTTGTCGGAATCAATTAGTCATTCTCCCATCAACTTTTTTGACTTAGTTAGCTTAATTAGATCGGTTCGATGGGCCCCATGATAATATCTTTGCAGAGGATCTTTCTTTATCAAATTTTTTTTCTGGACCATTAGATCCTTGTGAGATTAACAATGACACCTTTTTCTTATGTACAATATATAAAATAGTCTACTAACTACTTACATGGGCCAATTTTAGTCATAGAGCCATAAAAGTGTTAAATCAGTCATATTCTTTATCATTAGAAGAGCCTGGGACTAAATTGGCCCTTTTATAAATTGTGGGACTAAAATGTCCCACAAAATGTCAGCCATCATTTTGAGCTCTCTCTCTCTCTCTCTCTCTCTCTCTCTCTCTCTC